CCCCCCTTTCGCGTAGACTCGCACAAAGAGCTACGGAGGAAGTATATGGGAAGAAGGAGTCCAGGGTCGCAACCATCTTCACGTAGGCACTTCACTCGAACTTCAGCTTTGATCCTCTTTGACCATGATCTATTATCTATCATCCACCGGATCAGCCACTAAGCCCATACGGGCCAAAGATAAAAATATGCGCACAGCTATGGGTCTACGGGCTATATGTTCACGCACGAATGAATAGCTGTGCACGGTCTTAATTATTCTTACGAGATCAGCGGAGGCATCGATGCCGTGGCAGCCCAATCACCATAAACATCTAGAACAACCAATCGCCTCTGGACTGCATCCCTTCTTTTTTCCCTTGGCAGTGCGTGCCAGTCTTTGGTTCTCGTAGGCCCTCTCCTGGACTGTTCTTCATCCTCTCGTCTCTCATCGACGTTGCCTCCTTGACTTCTTCACGTCCACCCTCGTAAATAGTGATCTTGACAATGGCGATGAAAGCAACATCAGAAACGGCTCCTCCCCTATCCCTCCTAAAATCTCCCTGATTTCTCAATTCTCTCTTCCCCTTCCTCCCTCGCAAACGTGTCTGTAGCGTAAATGTCACGGAATTTGAGGCCAAAACCGAGTCCGTGTGTGGAGGCAATCAGCTAACTAAGCTCCTTCGAACTTGCTGGATCACCATCGCAGCTGGGTCGGTGAGCGGTCAACGTTACGCCTCCCTGAATACTTGCTTAGTCTCCTCCAGCCGGGAACCTACCGCCTGTATGTTCCATTATTTATGCGGTATGCCGCAAATGTGTCTCGAATTGAGTCATCGCGAGTCGGCGGCAGACGTGTGTTTGGTCGTTCGCGAACTTTTACACGCGTTGGTTGATGTCTCGTCGGTGGGACTGTCAGTATTTTCATTCCGCGCATACTTATTGCATTGTGATGCCCTGATGACTAGTTCTAAACGGTTGACGAGGAATACGTGGCGAGCACTATGATTGAGTGTTGTCGAACGGGCATGGATAGGAGTCCATAGGGAACAGGGGCTATTCTGCGCGCGGAGTTGGAACTCGAACATACTTCCTACTGTTTAGTGCTCAGGTCTGAATGTTCGTTGCTGTTCGTTATGTACAGGCGACCCAAGGCCTCAATCGAACTTCCCCAATTCTGAAGTGGTTGATCACGCCCCTTTGGCCCCGCAGCAATTCCCAGTATTGAAAATATTGTTACCCCATTCTGGCTCCTGTGCGTCTTCCAAACTCAATGAAAGCGGCGGTACTCATTCAATTCATTTCAGGTACAGTTTATGCTCAGGAGTCCTCATATGTCTCGCGTTGTTTCAGTCTCGCGTGGCTTGTTTTCGAGATGGCCAGCTTACGATCCGACCTACACGTATTGGGCATTGACCAATGCTCGGTGCTCACCACTGTGAGATGTCTGAGTAAATATTGGTGCTTGATAGGGCGTATCCGTATCAAGACCTTGTATATGGTGCCGGAAATCGGATAGAAAGCCGCTAGTGCAACTCGGCTTGGTGCTCATTTTACTCGCGGTGTGGAGTGGGAGGACTCTGTATTATCTTGCCCAGCTTATCGTGTTTTGTACTCAAGTATCATACTCCGATTGCGGGGAGTTCCGATTGGGCTTTAAAAGCTTGATTCTTGTGAGTTCGGCCTTCGGACTCGGATGAAGTGTGTGCGCAGGTAAGCCCTTTTAAGCTGAACGTTTCATTTCCATCGATTGCCCTTGTGTTATGAAGGGGGGAGTAGATATTAAATGAGACGGCTGTGCCACGCCGTTTAGCCTGTACAGCGAGCGCCCGGATACATTCTGCCTGCGGGACCCTTGGTGGAAGTCCATGTAATTTATTATAATAGGAGATTCAGGAGGCACGTGATCACATTTGTATCTTTTCTTTCCAAGTGCCTTCTTCCTTTCTGGACCTCGATGTTCAGAACTGGATGCACGCATTATTGCCTGGCTTTGTCGGCGCAAATTTATCCTCAAGGCCCTCCGCATCAAGTCTCGAGTACTCACGGGGATCACGTAGCAAAAGGCTTTCGGAAGGTTGAATCGGCGTTCTTGAGTTGGCTCGAGGTCAACTATCTTTGCCCTTGGACGTAGGATGTCGCACCGTAGTACCAAGTAACGGTAGGGGCATTGGCTTCGGCCATTGTTTTCGACTTGTCCTATGAATGCAACAACTACTTGTCTAACAATTACTTGTCTGTCGTCTCGCTTGCCGTTCTCGGTACCTTCATTCAAGTCAAGGGCACATAAATGGAGTCCTGAAACGATTAAATATCAACCATCCACTTGTTTACCTTCATCGATGACTTCTTTTACCATGGTGCACACCTCGTGTCCATCTCTTGGGTCTTTCAGCCTCTGAAGGTCTGACCTCCAAACACTTTGTCGTAAGTGAATTTCCATTCTCACCGATTAGCGTGTATATTCAGGTAAGCTCCACCGGCAAAAGGTAATACAATGGCTAATAGACCTGCGTGTAAATCATTGTATTAGTAGGTCCAAGGATCACCCGCCGGAATTGCCTGCCTTTCAGGTGTCCATCCATATTCGTCGTCGTCGCTCACCCTCGACAACCAATCCTATTCAGCGGTCGGTTCTCATTGTTTGCTGCTCACTGCTTGGAACATGCTACTCCTCTTTCTTCAGATGTTAACGCCGTAAGGACACTGCTCCTGGAGGCACATTACTTTGCATTCATCATCAACATGTTGCATGTTGGCCCTCCCGCCCCACTGCTACTCAAGGACACAAACACGTGTAACACCCATAGACGCTTGTACAAGGCAAGATCTCCAGCACGATAGCAGATGGTTCCGTGTTTCTGTGCGTAGAATTTATGTGACGTCGAGAGAACCCAAACCTCCAGGACAGCTAATTGCATCGACCCCTTCCAGGTACTTTCCCCTGCCCTTTCAGCATGAAATAATCCTCAGTACTCACGTTTCCAATTCTACCGCTTTGCCTCCTGTCCCCTTAATCGTCAATCATTACCTATCCCCTCGTAATTCTCGTAAGCGTTCTCCTGAATTATACTCGATCCTCTCTCATCTCCTCACGTTCTCCCCGATCTCTCACTAATCTCTCGGACAGGGCTATTGTAGGCACGCGTATCGTCAATGTGACTTGTGTGCTGTGACACCGTATCTCGCTATCCCCTGTGTCGATTCGGGAGTCCTTCGAAAAACAAGGAATAACGGCAACCCAGCACAAGCAACCGAGAGCGGCGCCGGAAAGATGCTGGAGCGGATAGTCGAGGGCGTGATAACGGTCTTGTACGTTACCTGCCATTCAGCGTGGATATCAAGGAAAGCTTCGTTAAGGCGAGCGCGGAGTCAAGTCTGGCGTCAGCTGCTACTAGCCGCGTGCGATAATAGCCAGGCGGCCAACCAATATGCCCTCGGCATGGATTCGCCTCCGTGAGTCGCCTCTTCGTGAGTCATGACGACAATCAATGTAAAATGACCAAACATACAGCGCAGAGAACGTACTTCCCACATGGGCGAATGGCTGTGTACGGCTATCCTTGTTTCTCGCTTAGATCTACTTACGCGACAACGACATCTGGATTCCGAGTAGCCCTTCATTATCGTCAACCCCATATGTGTGTGCCAGTGGATGGCGCTGTGAATAAATGAACGTGTACACACATCCTGCGACGCCCAATCGTTGCCTCGCCTTCCCTCTTCCCTGATCCTTACGGGCGCCCACCACACTCAAAGCGGTACGGCCTACATACGACCATGTTTACCCCCGTTCACACGCGTGCCAGCACACATGCCGTTGCTGGACATGGAGGCTGGAAGGCTTGAGGCTCGTCCACATGGGTTCAAGATTTGAAGACGTCATTGTTGAATGCTGGAGGTAAATCAATTAAGGGGAAACGGCTGGCTTGCCGGTCCACCTCCGCTCCCATTGTAATGAGGGTGCCCGCCTGGATTCATAAATACGCAATACCGGACAGCTGGACGCCTTCTATCATTACCTCGGTCTTCACAACGGCTTCAAGTTTCACTCTCTGTCAACTCGACACTTCGTACGCTGCATGGTGCTTCTCTTGCTTAGTATACATGCGGAGGCATAGTGGTATACAGCCGCGTAGGCACAATCATATTGGTAGGCACATTAAATCATCGAAGAATCGGAATCACTGAGGTATTAATATCAGACTTTCCTTCCACTCAATAAGTATTCATGCAGCGCCGGCGTTGAAATTCTCGGGCAATCAACGCATCAAGAGTACGGCCGATCTTAGCCAATCTTGGCTATATTCACGGCTATTCGTTTCTCCCCTCGGTCAAGCATGGAAGTTGAACGTTGAGGCCGAATGCGAGCGCACAGAGCCAAGCAATCTCCATCATCCGTCCATGGAGTGAACCGTATCCTCCTGTTATGGAATTAAATGAAAGGGCACAGAACGTAGCTCGTACCTCCACATGGCTACGTACCCGTGCAAGGGCATCCCTGTTTACCGCCTGAATCCCATTTCCTCCGCCCTTTCTCGAACGAGACAGATATAATATTTGGCCCCACGCGTGTAGGCGTCTCGATCCTTCAGCAGCTCATCGTTCTGGCGGCACTGAATCCTCCTTGGGCTGTCTCCTAATGACTCCTTTTCTCCTTTTCTCTCCTGATCTCTCCTGATACTTACCTCAATCTAGGTCTATTCTTCAAAGCGGAGGGATTTGAGCAGTATAGGCGGCCGATAAAAGTACCTCGAACGACCAACAATCGACCCATCGCTATATGGGCTCTCGAAAAGATATATTTCGGTCATTCCATTCCCACTTATTCAAGCTTGAGCTCGAGTTTACCGCAGATGCGCCGCGGGATGCATCAATGGATATGCGACCCGTTGGCGGGCATGAACGTAGGTTGCAATGCAAAGAACGGACTCGGAACGAAAAACGAAGGACAACGCAAGCGAATCAAAAACAAAATCAAAATCAGAACCAGGAAAAAATCCTCAACAAAATTCCTTACATTGCCTCGACCCTGGATCGAACAGGGGATCTTCGCATCGCGCAATCCGAAGGAATACGAGTGCGACGCTTTACCACTGAGCCACCGAGGCGGTGTTTGTTGATCCTCCTCCCCCCTTCTACCCAAGTGCGTGAGGCCTGGTCGATGCATCGCACCCTCCCAATCCCCTCCCAATCCCCTCCAAATCGCCATTCGCGTCATTCCTCCAATCACGGAAACATCATCTTGCGCCCGAGACGAATGCGTTCAATGCTCAGTGCAGACCACCGGCCGACTCGTGTATGTCATGAGTCATCGGTATAGTCATTAGTATAGTCATTAGTTTAGTCATTAGTATAAATATATGAATCTAATATATTCTGAGAATCGGCATCCAAGTTCGCGAGTTCAACGTCAACGTTCACTGTCGGCGGTGTAAGGTGTAGCTTGTAGGCTCTGCTTCCTCACAGCCATGAAGCATCTGAGCGTGTCGGCATCCAGTGTTCAAGTATTCATGGACCACAAGCAAGCGCAAGGCTTGAGCACACGAAGTTCGTCGGACGGACGGTGAAAACCAAAAACCAAACGAATGAACACGTTCATATATACATAACGAGCGAGCGAGCGGGGACATCCAGACGGCAAGAACAGCAAGAACAGCGAGACGGCGAGAGCGATGCAACAGGTATGTTAGGGGGTATGTAAGGTATATAAGATGATATGTATGTGGATAAGTGGATACGTAGAAATGTTGAATATGCGCGTAGATGGATGAGATGGGCGAGGACATTGTACGTAGATGTAGATGGAATGGGAGGGAGGGGATGTCGCCGGAGAGATGATAGGTAAGCCAGGCGGGATATGTATGTGCGTATGCGTGTTTGACCGGGCAGATAGTCGGAAGACGATAGGTAGTGGGTGGCTAGACGATAGACGAGCAGGTAAATGATAGATGATGGGGCGCCCGCGCCCCCTGTCCTCCTCCTCCTGTGCTTCAAGACTCCATGATTTCATGGCTTCGAGGCGTCAAGCTTGAGGGCTTGAGTTACGTCCTCCCCCTCACCTCCTCCCACCCACACCCGGCGTCCCCACACCCACACCCCTACCCCCACCCCCACCCATACCCACACCCCCACCCACACTGAGACTCGACGCACCCGCAACCCCGGCGTACGTATACGGCGCCAGCCGTATATTCTCCGCGTCCTCGTCGGCGCGATACACGCCCCCATACGCATCCTCCTCCTCCTGCTCCTCTTCTGATTCCGTCTCTCTCCCCCGAGCGTAATTGCCACCCGAGCCATAATTATCACCACCATAATTATCACCGCCATAACCGTCATAACGGCCTTCCCCATGAGCACGCGTGTAATAAGGACGTCCTGGCCCGCCATCGCCATACCTATCCCCGCCTCCTCCAGCCACGCCCGCTCCCACAGAAGGAACAGAACCAGTCACAGTGCCAGACCCCGAGCCACCCACCGCCATCGGCGCCGCCGCCGGGTACACCGAACCATTCCTCCCCCCCGAACCACCCACCGAACCACCCACCGAACCACCCACCGAACCACTCCTCCCCCCCGAACCACCCACCGAACCGCCGACCCCAAACGCCGCCCCGAAATCCATCTTCGGGCGCCCCGCCCCGTTCCTCACTTGCGCATGTGCATGGGCATGTGCATGGCGTGTGTGCGGCTTCCCGCGGACGTACGCGACGAAGAAGCGCAGCGAGGAGGCTATTTCTGCGAGGAAGTCGGCTGGTTATAAAAAGAATAGGAAGGGAGGAAGGGGGAGAGGAAGAGGGGGTTAGTAACAGGTAAAGGAGGGGGGAGGGGGGAGGGGGGGGGAGAGGGACTCACAGAAGTTGATACTGCCCAACGTTGACGAAAGACAAGCGAAGGACAAACGGAAAACAAACAAAAGAAAAAGGTCAGCCGTCGCGTTCTGCGTCTCATAAGGAGGGGGAAACGAAAGACAGAGGAAGAAGAAGGAAATGGGAGAAGACGGAAGAAACGGAAGGAAGTGGAAGGAAGTAGAAGGAAGTAGAAGCACAGGGAAGGGGAGGAACGAGCGCGCCGTCCTCGTCGTCGTGTACGCAGAATAAATGAATGAGTGAAAGAAAACCCGCCGAAAGGCATCACAGGGCGCGGCGAAAACAAACGAAACCACCGCCGAAAAAAGGGGAAGGGGTAATGGGGAAAGGAATGGGAGAATAGCAGGAGAATCGGGGTATCGACACGGGAAAACGGCCAGGCGCCGCGTTCCTTCGTCCGGCGGAACACAAGGACGAGCACAAGGACAAGCACAAGCGAAACCACGAGAGGCACGCAGGGTGCAGCAAGGGAGCGTACGGGATGGGGAAGACCGCGAGACGGATACACGGGGAGAGAGCGGACGGGGCGCGGTGGCTCGCACACGCAAGCGAAAAACGGCGGCGGAAAGTGAAAGTGAAAGTGAAAGTGAAAGTGAAGGGGAAGCGAGACGATGAAACGCAGGACGAAGAGCTGATATTCCCCAGAACGGGGACACGCGAAAGCAGACGCAACACGAACACGAACGCGAACGCAAATGGAAATGGAAAGGCAAGCGCAAATGCAGACGCAAACGGACTCGTCATCGCCGTGTACGCAGAACGACGAGCAGATGAACGAATGGGTGGATGGATGGGTGGATGGACGAAAGCCCGCCGAGGGGCATCACAAGGAGCCAGGGAGCCAGGGAGTCCGAGCGTTACGCGGGAAGGACGCGTCGGCGTATACGCAGAATCAATGCATGGATGCACGCATGCATGACAGCAAACGCACTGAATCGCCGAAACCACAAGTCGGGAAGGACGCATCGGCGGCAGGCGGGAAGCGCAAACGCAAACGCAAAAGACAAAGAGAAAGGGAACGAGGGAAGAAAGAGGGAAGAAAGGCGCGTTCGCCTTCCGTCCCCGTCCCCGCGATTCATCCATCCAATCCCAACAAACCCATTCCAACCATCCCAACCGAACCCATTCCAACCCCGAGATTCCAACCCATCCCATCCCATTCCGACCATCCCATCCATCCCAAGACAGCGAAACGATGAAACAGACCCCCCCTCTCTCTCCAAACCCCCAAAAAACCTCTCTCAAGAAAACCAAACAAATCAACGTAGAAAGAACGCACCTATCCCACAGCGCGCGCCACACGCGCGTCGGGGGGCCGGGCTTGGCGTACTCGCGGGGCGTGTAGGCCCACCACATGAGGGCTGCGAAGAAGACCATCTGCAATATGGTGTGGGTTAGTGGAAGGACGAGGGGGAAGGAGAGGGGGAGGGAGGGAGGGGTGTTAGGGAGGGGGAGGGGAGTTAGGGAGGGGAGGGGGAAGAGTAAGGATGAGGGAGGGGAGAATAACAGAGGGAAGCACGGAGTAGGGGAGTGACGGAGCGGGTGAAGAGAAGTGTAGAAATGGGGAGGGAATAAGAGGGAGGGAAGAGAGGAGAAGGAAACACGCACCTCGATGCATATCGCGAGCGCGTTGAGGCCGTTCTTGATGTTGGAGACCGTCCAGTACTGCGTCTCGTGGATGACGCGGCCTTCGAGGGCGGAGAACTGTTTCCATCCAATGAATGAACGGATGAATGAATAAATGAACAAGGTGGTAAGCGGGTGAATCAACGGACGGACGGGTGAAAGAAAGGCATAAATGCGAGAAATGGAACGAGAAACGAAAGAAATAAAAGAAATGCGAGTACAAGGAGGGAATATTGGAATACTTACCACGAAGGACTGGTAGAAGGTGAACATGACGATGAGCTTGATGCTAAGGAACTTTGCGAGCGGGCGGCGGCCGCGCAGCTCGTGCTTCATGAGGTCGTAGAAAAGGAGCAGGCCGTAGAGCGCGATGCTACGCGTACACGGGTACACGGATACAGAACACACGCATCCGCATAGTTGTGTTCGACGACGGGAAGAGAACGAGTGAGTGAGTGGGTGAAAGTAAAGTGAAAGACGGGCACGCGCACGCACCTAATACTCAAAAAATTAACGGCCTCGATGTACACGCGGGCGTAGCGCGGGTCGAAGCCCTCGGCCTCGCACAGCACGCCCACCTTCTCGCAGATGATGCCCGCTATCGAGCAGGCTGTCGTACGTTGATTATCGGTAGCAAGTGGACAGCGAGAGCGCGCACGCACCTGGGCGTATGATGACATACTGCAGCACGGACCACTGCGCATGCGAGTGAGGGGATGCATGAATATGGGCCGCGGACACGCACCTTGACTGTGTGCATAAAGTACGGCTTCGTGGGCCTGTAGCGCCAGCAGCAGAACTAGCGCGCGTGTGCAGATCAGCGAGTGAATATACCATACGGGGAGTGTACGCACGGGGATAGGGAGCGGGGACTTGTCCTTGCGCTCGAGGGCGGCGTGCGCGTTGTGCCCCGAGGCGGTGGACGCGACGTACTCGATGATCAGCAGTCTATCGATATCACATGGCGCGAGTGAGTGAATAACGGTGGGAGAGAGAAGGGCACGCACAGGAAGGCGCTGAGCGTGATGGCCTGGAGCGTGTCATTAGCGTTCTCGGCGATGGAGCGCAGCGCGTACCTCGTAGGCTGTCACGCGCGGGCGTCAGATGCGTGTAGAAGAGGAAGGAGAGGGGGCGCACCGATCTCGACCAGGGAGTAGTACGTGTAGCTCCGGAAGAAGCGGTAGGAAAAGAAGGAGATGATGGCGTAGATCGCGGGCATGTACAGGATACGCAGTCTACACTCGTGTCGTCATCATCGTCATTGAGAGGGGGGGTTGAGACGTACATCTGGCGCTGTTCAGCGGGGTTCGTGTAGCTCCTGCGCGCCGGATATCCCGGTCACCCTGGTGTCAGTGAAAAGAGAGTGACTGGCACGCACCGGCAGTGTTGGCGAACAGACAGTGTTGTGATGATGACGGTCTACACTCCAGTGCGTCACGCGTCATCAACACCCTGCCATAGAATCCAATAAGTAGCAGCGACTCACGAGGACAGCACACCCGCCCGCGATAGCCCATCCAATCCTATGCGCCTCCCAGTTCAAATTTTCGCCGTCCCAGAAGTGCGATTGGTCGATGCTCGCCGCGTTTTCTGCAGCGCATGTCATAGCCAGA